GCCCCAAAAGAGAGTGAAAGCTGCACGAGCACATTCGGTATCGCATTAAATTTCAGCTCAGCTGCCACTTCGATTCGACTTTTTCGACTTCGACATGGGCCAATGCAGCAGGCGCAGTTGTTCATTGCTCGCTCGTGTTTTAATTTCGTGTTGTATAAAGTGTTGTTTTTAACCCCCCCCACCCCCTCCTCGTCCCTAATTTTCATTGTCAGCGTGCGGGCATGCAACTTCTTCTCTGGAGTCCCCACCTCCCCTCTCCCCACTTAAATGCTAAGGCGTATTTCATAATTGCGCCTGAGCTGGGCCGCTGAAAAGCCACCGAGTGCCGAGAGTCCAGAGCCCGATGCACATATCAAGCAAGAAATTAATCATAGTAATTGCCGGCACTGAATTTGGCTTTTGTCTGCGCGCTGCGTGTAAATGAACTCCGGCGTAGAGCTGAGCTAACCAAAGCAAAGCCAAGCTAAACTAAACGCTGTGGGAAAAGCCGCATTTTTTGGCAGAGACATGGCCCTGCTCGGGCGCCATCTGTGTCAGCGTTATATGCAAAAATGCCAGCTATGTGTGATAATTGTTGTGTTTTACTTTCGAACTGATGCACTTGGGAAAATATTTATTAAACATAATTTGGCTCCTTATTTTTCAATTGGCTTTGTAAAGTGGTAGTTAGCATTTTAATCAATAAAAAACATTTCAGGTTTCTGACTAAACCTTTGGGTTTACTACTAAATTTTAAAAACCACAAACAATTTTCTAAAATGAGATTGTTTTTATTTAAATTTTTTCTTTAATTTATTAAATTTTTTTTTCTGAATTAATTAATTTTGTTAATGAGGATTCTCATTGAAAATCTGCTTATTCGTTTAATATGTTTTTTTTTGTTAATTCTGCAGCAATTAAAAATTAAAATGAATATTGATTTTAATTTTTTATTTTAAATTACTAAATGATAGAATATATTTAAAACTTTAATAAAATTTAAAAATTTATTAAGCCTTTTTGAAAAATAAAATGTGATTTAAATAGTTTTAATATATTCTAATTAAAAGTGATCAATTAGCTGCCGCTTTTCCGCTGTGTGAAGTTTCCATTGCCACTGGGTTGGGAAAATGTGAAAAAGGGCCAGGCCAGCCGGCTGACGGCTGACTTTGGCATACTTTCGATGCCAAGCGGATTGATTAGCATCTCTGCCCCGCTGCAGCTCCCTCATCTGCCATTCAACTGGCGTCCCATGCGTGGGACTCACTTATATTATTCGTTGGATATCTGTGCATATATTTCTTATTCTCCTCGATTAACTGGCGACATTGTTCCTCGCTCGCTGTCAGTTCTTGTGTGGGCAAAAGTGTCTCCGTTCGCAAGCGTGGTTGCCTCGTTTGCACTCTAACAACTGCAAAGTGTCAGAGTTACCAGTTACCAGCTTTATGCGCAGTCTGAAATTCGGGGCGTTACAGACAGAAGTGGGACAAGGAAATGGAATTTTGAGACGAAGGATTCTAATCCTACACTCAACATACATTTAAATAATGTTAATAGTAGTAGCCAGTTAAACCAGCAGTTAAAAAACTAATTTTTGCTCTCTAAAAGTATATATAAATGTAAAACAAAAATGTTTTGTAATAGAAATACTTCATTATAGGGAAAATAAAACTAAGGTGTACTTTAATTATATGTATCATCTTCAAAATTATCTTCAAAATTATTGAAAAAATAAAACATAAATAAATTAAGAATATATGTATAATTTTTCGGAAGTACCCACTACATTTTTTGGGAAAATTCAATTTAAAGTTCTGTAAATAAATATATCATCTTTCAGGTAGGATATTGGTCGCTCTATTAAAATATAAATCAAAAATGTTATGTAACTATATGGTATGTATTATCTTTCAAAAGTACCTAATAAATTATTAAAAAAAAACTTATCGGAAATTAAATTATCACTATAAACAATAACTTAAACTACTGTATATAAATGTATCATCTCTCAGGCAGGTACCTTGACTAAATTTTAAATTTTTACTAGCTGCACTCACATGAGTGACCTAATGGCTTAATTGCTATTGAGTCTCACCCAGAACATCTTCCCACATCACTCACTTGTGAGGTGACCCGCCACTTATGGCTGTGACCGCATTCGGATTCGTTTCCCATTCGACTGCAAAACAGCAGCTGTGTCTAATTTGTTAAGAAGGCCATTAAAAAAAACAGTGCAAAATTCTCTGGCGGCGTGTGAATCCCACTTATAGAATATATTGTAGAGTGGTCAGATAAATTAGCCACCTCGTCGGAACCAATAATAACAAAAGGAATTGGGTCAGTCTGTGGGATAGAAAGATATCTCGATGTGGCGGCGGAATGTGGCCCGAACAAAAAATTGCAGCATCATCGATGGTCGGTCACAGGGTTAAAAACAGTTTATGGGTAAATAATTTATGCGTGAAATGCAGAAAAACAACATGCGAATTAGCCGCCGGCAGAGGCGGGTTCCATTTGAAATGATATTTAATAATGGGTAATTGTGAAATGGAAAACATGAGAAACATTAATCGCCCGCCCATATATCAATCCATCTGGGAGAGTCTTGCATAATTATCGTAGGGCAACTAATCTGTTTTGGTAGTCTGGTCTTATATTTTATTTTTTTTTTTGCTTGGCCCAAAGCGAAGGTGAAGAAAAGTGCGAGACAAAATGGCAAAGACAATTTGAATTTATTTCTGTCACTCTGCCATGGCTCGTTTCTTTCGCTATCTCTCCTCTTTTTTTTTGGACCTGGCTATCTCCCTCAAGGTCGCATAAATAATAAAAGTAAAATGTGGCAAGTGATTCCACTGCGCTAATTAATTCAGTTGCGCTAATTTCGCCCTGCTCTGTTTTTGGTTACTCTGAGTGCCCTGGAATCGGGTGTGATATATTTATGCACACATTTGCAACAAAAGGGTAGGAGAAACTTGGACACATATATATATTACTTTAGTTTTACATTATTATTATTTTTCTTTGTTCAAGTATTAAGTTTTCAGAGTTAATTTAGTTGAACCACTAATTGGACTGAGCCAATGATAGTAATAAAAGCTATAAAAGTGTTAATAAAATATCTCTACAAAACTAATTTGAAACATGAATTTCTGAACATTTTTATTACGTTATTACTTTGGTTTGTTGGATCGTTAATTTATATTAATAAATAGATTTTCTTTACATATAATGATTAAAATATGCTTTCCATTTATACAATTTTATTTATAAATAAAATTTTAAGGTATTGTCATCTTCGTTTCCTGAGTTTTACCAAAAATGCTCTGTTATTTTGGGGTCTTTGTTTTCTGTTTTGGTTTTTTGATGCCGCAAAAGTGATTTGCATATACTTAGCCAGCTCTTTTTTTATCTCTTTCTTTTCTTCTCTAGAGATTTGCGTAATTGTGGTGTGCAGTTGGGTTTTTCTCCTTGGCTGTTTTGTTTTGATTTGTTGGCCCTTTCCGTAGTTCCCTTCGAAACTAACCAAATGTAAGGCCCACGTGCTGCTGCCCACTTATAACAAAAAATATAAAAAAGATACAAAGATACACGGAGTGAGTTGGAGTTCGAAGTATCTGAATAGACCATAATCATCTGAGTCATCATCATCGTAATAATCATTCAAGATGCCAGTGACCTTTGGCGGGCTCTTCATCTCTCTAGCTTCTTTTCGCTGATCAATATCTGGGGGAAGCCTCCATGTAATGCACGATTTTTGTCGAAACCGAATGATTGAGGCCTCCGAAAACAGTTAGGGCACATAGTTTTACCCCCCTTCTGTATTTGCCTGCTGACCGCTTCTATTCGTATTCAAATTTCTGGCCAAATTATCTCAAATATGGGTCAAAAACTACAGGTTTCTCGTTTCTCGCTGCGAAATATGTGTTAATCACTTCCCATGAATTATTCAATAAATTTTCGTATAAACACAGCGACAGATTTATAAAGGAAGGTGCGAGTGTGTGTTTTTTGATTTACAGGTGGCAATTAAGAAAAGTGTTGCCAAAACATAAGCGAACAATTTAGCAGGCGATTCTACACTGATTTTACGACTCTTAGAACATGTTTACAAGGCTACCAAATGTGTGGATTATGGAACCTCGCCAATCAAGGGTTACCCCATAGCCAGCTGGCTGTTTTTTAAATCAAAATTAGCGACAAGTTTGTAAGGGGGCCAATCATCTGCCGCCAAGTGCTTAATTAGTTGCGGGTTACTTAGTAGCCACTTAGGAGTTAATTGCTGTGGATAATTCCCCCTGACTTTGGCCAACCCGTAAAACAAACCGAACGATGCTCTTAAATCTTGTCCGCTTCACATAAATTTTGGGTCGAGGCCAGGCGGTTATCTATGGGAGTATGGATGAATTTACGACCCGTCTAAGGGTGATTTAAATTCAAGCCGAATGTCGGCTACAATGTGATGGGAAAACTCTGGCTGACATCATCGAAAAACATCAATACAAACTAAAGTGGTGACAACAAAAAACTGTATTCTTTCAATTCCCAAAAACAACATTCTTTTAAGCCATAACAGATTTCTCTTTCTCCTATAGATGTAAAAAAAAAACTATATTTATTGTTTGAATAAGAGTGGTGAGAGTTCTAAAAATTTGTTTAATATATAATTAATTTAATTTATATAAAATTGTTAATAAAAGCGCATAGCTAATAACAGGCAGGCATTTTTAATATTAAATACTTTATTAATTTCGTTAATTTATGAATTATTTAGTTGGGTATTAGGAGTTTTCCTAGCCCATCAGTTAGTGCTCAAAGGATTACGATTTTTTTTAGCTTACTTTCTCTTTGAAATTAAAATTAAATGGGGAAAAGATTTCTTATCTAACCCTTATTCATTCACAAATTGTGTACTTTAAAGTAGAACTTGATTTTGCATCTACATTTTATTTTATGTAGGTAAAAAAAGCAATACTGATATACAATATAGTATTTCAATTACTTAGCAGGCCATGACTTTGATTTCAGTAGTATATGAAAATAAATCGTATAAACAGATCATTGTACTAGCAGCATTCAAAGCGGTTGGATCTTAGATCGAATTGTAAACTAAATTAAAAACAAATATTTTTCTGTTTTCTATTTCATAAGGTAAATCTTAAGAAATTAAGAAATGTTTGTAAAACAAATAGAAAAGAAAAGGTTAAAATTGGAGTAAAAAGTTGATCAAAAATTAAGGAAAATTTAATGTTAACTAATATTACAAAGTCTATTTCACAGCCTAAGAAACCAATACTAAAGATCCCTACTCCTCAGCCTAAACATGCCGATGTCTCATGGGGATGGAAGCTTCCAGGGCGGCGGAGATCTGGCCAAGAACGAGTCAAACTCGCAGCAATCGGTGGGAGAAGCCAATGCATTTGCCGCCTGCCAGAAGCCACTTCTGGACGCCAACTCGCTGCCGGTGCGCCAGTACTTGGACCAGACAGTGGCCCCTATCCTGCTCCATGGACTGCAGGCCCTGGCCCGCGATCGACCCGATGATCCGGTCAGCTACCTGGCCACCTATCTCCTGAAGAACAAGAATCGCGCCCTGGAGGTCAATGTGGATGAGAGTTAGCCACTGTTCGCACTTTTATTGTAAAACGTTTGTCAAACACTCTGTTGTATGCCGATTTTCAATCCCCTGAATTTATAGTACTCTTTGTTTTGTGCACAACTTATCGCTGATTAAAAGCTGGCAGCCACTTACCAGCCACGATTTCATGGTGATTTCCCGGTGTTTTTCCTTTGGTGTTTTTTCTGTTTTTAATATTTTTCCGATTTAATTTGCAATTTATTTGCCGTTGGCTTTTCACGGCTCTGTACACACGCACAAGATTTTCCAAATTATATCTCGCTCAGCGGTTGCCAATTTTGGCAATCTTCATTATTGGCAATAAGCCCAGCGAGGCTTTCAATTAGTTCCAGCTCCAGCTGGTGTATGATTTGGATATTTAATATTATTATTATTTTTTTTAACACTTGCGATTGCAGCCCACGCTCGTTGCAGCAATATGCCTTTTGATCGCTTTTGAATTTGCGGTTTTGAGTTTCAGTTTTTCAAACTCGCGCTCGTGTGTCTGGTCGACTGCCTGGCTCGTTTGCCACTAAATTCGCAGCGCGCTTAGTTGACGGTTTAAAAACTTCAAATTCGAAACCGCTTCGGTTCAAAAGCGAGCGCCAAAGCTTCGGCTCTGGGTTCGTGTGTATTTTTTTAGTTTTTGTGAGTTCTGCTCTGGGCCCCCTCTCCATTTAATCTACTTTACGGGGCGTGTAAATCGGCTTACAAAGGCCCACCCGCAATTGTCACGCGCCAAAATCGAACTATAGCATACAATAATTGCATCTAATTGGTAGTTTGTTGGGGTCTAAAGATCACACAGTGCATCTCTGTTCCAAATCGAGTGATAAATACTTCAGGTGCTAAAGCGGCTCATTTTCGAAAGGGTTTTTAAGCGAGCGGCCTTGGCATGTTGGATCTTGAAGTGCGAAGCGGGTTCAAATCAAAGTGGAGTTAGATAACTTCACGTCTCGACAGTTTCCGATCAGTTGAACAAAAATTATTAAAATACCCCCCCAAGCAATATGCGAACAATTTTTATCGAGACAAATAAACACATCTAAAAATACAAAAAATACAAAAAAAAATCTCCAAGCAATTCGCAATTTGAGTCAGCGATTTTTGCTGGAAAAGTAAATATTTGATAGTCAAGGGAGAAAGGCCAAGTGCAAAGCTTTAGGTGATACCCTTCGCTCGAGGGAGAGGCATTATCTTATTAAAAGCGGAAGAGAAGGGGCTCTAGATTCCGTTCCCTATATCAATGATTCATTTCGGGGCTACCCACCTAATTAACACACATTAAATCGCCTACTTAATGGCTGCAACTTTGAAATTTAAGTGGAAACCGTTTTGTAAAAATAAATATATTTATTTTAAAGTGTTTACTTGAAAGTGTTTTATAGATTACTGTAAAAATATTCACAATTAAAATAGCTTCGTTTGTAATTTTATTTTAAAAGTTTCATATTTTTGCCAACTCAAATTACTATAAGAAAAAATAAAATGTTTAATCAATATCAAAACTTAAAAATATATTACATATTGTTATGCCGAATTCATTAACTTTCTTTAAATCAAGTTGACATAAGCATTAGGCGACAACATTTATTAAATGATTTAAAAGCTAGCTAATTGAAAAATTCTATTTAGTCTAGAATATCTAACTTCATAAATTATCTTCGATTGCGAAATTGTTTTCGATAAATTTGTAAAACTCTCAAATAGGGTATGCAGTCATATTAATAATCCATTAGAAGCCAAGAAAACAAAAAACAAACAAACCTAGAAACAAAACAACAACCCGCCAGCCCACACGGATAATAAAAGTCCGGCATATGATTTCTGGTGGCGTATCTATGGCCATCTGTATCTGAATCTGTATCTTTTTGCTCGCCTTGTGGCTCGAATTAATTAAAAAATCAAAGTCGTTGTAATTATTTGTCTCGACTGCAAAAAGTGTCTGCCACTCGATGGTATCTGTATCTGTATCTGGTATGGTATGGTATGGTATGGTATGAGCCACAAGACAACTGCTCTTAAGATCATAAGACCCGAAAGTGGAGTTGCAAATTGAACTTGCTTTATTTTGGCGCCAGAGCTGCCATTGTTGTTGGTAAATACCAACAAAAACCAAGTGCGTGGGCGACTCGGAGTCGCTTGTCTAATGGAGCACCGTACTCCAAGGCCTCGCAGTCAATTTTTCTGATTGACTGGCGCTTGATAGACCGATCATATCGAGCCTACTGACTATATAGATGCAGTGCTGACGTCACACGGCATATGAAATCATTTTCGAAATGTAGGGGATAGGGATAAATCAGCGAGCATTCCATGAATAATCATAGACGACCGACCGAACGAACGAACGAACACTAGATATACAATATATATTTGCCAGCTTGTTCAATAAACAAAGCCACACGGCGATTCAATTACCAATGCAGCTCACAGCGTCTGGACTTTGACTTTGACGACCCACTGTGCGTATGAGCGACGCGGAACAAAACTATTTTGAGTTTCGGTTTGGGGGTTTCGGATTATTTATGCGTTACATGCGAAACACAAAACCAAATTTGAATATTTCACATGACGCATACGGTTGACATGCGTGTCTACGACAAATGTCGCTCCAAACAGAAGCAGCCACGCCCCCCTCCCCAATTTTTAAGTACAGGAAGAAATATATTTAATTTGTGGTTACCTCACATAATCATTTTTAATGACAATATTTAATTATCTAGGAAAAAGTTTGGTTTTTCAAAAAAATATAACCTTTTGTTTAAGATATTAATGATAATAAGGGTGACATAAATGTAATTAGTTATTTTAAAAGACTTTATATTTAGCTTACATTACTTTAATTAATTTAAAATAAATCTTGGAAGAAAACAAAATCTTAGCTGAAAACACAGAAGATGAAGCACTTAATGGTTCAATACGCGTAAAAAGAAATGTAATTTGTTTTAAATTTAGTTTCTTGCATTTTAAACCATCTACTTTTTCTATGAAATATGTTAGTATTGACAAACAAAATCCAAAAATGTGTAAAAATGTAGTCTTTTTATTTTTTTTAGTGCACTTCATACCCCTCGAACCATTGACAATTGAAATGAAATTGATTGAAATGCGATTAGCAAAATGAATATCAAACTGCAGCTACAACAACAAAGACTTACTAACGCTATAAATGTTTTGTTTTGTCGAATTGAATTGAATTGAATTGAATAATCACACATATGGCGGCAGGTGCTGTAAAAAAACGGGGGGGGAAAATGATTTTGGCATATTTCAATTCGGCAAACTGTTCAGTAGGCCATTTTTATGGCCCCGACTTTGATTGTTTTTGGCCATTTTCCTGCAGAGTCACGAAATCTTTGGGGCGCTGTGACAATTTTATTTGTTTACTTTATATAATGCAATGAGATAATCAAGGCATTATGTCAGCCCAACTGGGCCAAGCTCGGCTCAGGTGTTTTTTTTTGTTGTTGGCAGTGGGAGAATTAGCACTAGATAAATCATATTTAGAGACAAGATCCATGGCTAAGCTATGATCTCAGCGATCGAACTGTGAAAGTTCTAGCTTTTTAGCTTAGACCCCCACGCAACGCCAGCATAAAATGGAGTGGACGATGGTGCTCCACTTCGGACACTTTGGAGCGCAGACCTACACTCAAAAAATAATTAGAAAAACAATCGCTATCTTTAAACTCAATCGATTAATTTCTTCCTACTTTTACAAATTCTTTATTTAATTTAAAAAACTGTTCCATTTTGTAGCAATAAAAAAGATTATTGTATTTTTCCAAAAACTAAATATGAAATTAAGTATGGTTACAAAATTACGTTGGTTTGTGGAAGTAAGTGCCTTTATGATTAGAAAGCAGTGAATTAAAATAAAGAAGAGGTTTTTAAATTTATGAAACTTTACAAAAAAAAACATTGATTTCAAAACTTATAATATATTTTGTTGATCCAAGCTTAAGAAAAAATATTTATTTTTTAATAGAAACATTTTTCTAAAACAAATCTGATTTTCTGAAACCAAGTATGATTTCCAATTTTTTTCCGACTGCAAGAACAGCATGACCTACGCTAATAGGGCAGAGAAAAATCTGTCGAAATTTTAAACTAATTTTAGCAGTTGCGACATCGCCAAAATATCGGAATCTCAGGCCAGCAGCAACAACAAAAGTTCGCTGAACTGCACAAAGGCTACAAACTATAATAATAAGACAAAGCCGGGCTTCATTAGTCCCGACAACAGCACACCATCACCATCACCATCACCATCATCGCCGAAGAAAGCAGCCGCTGAAGAAGATTGGCCGGCGGACAAAAAATGCACACAAATCAACGTTAGAATTTGGAATTCCAGTGGGAACAAAGCGGAGAAAGATGGAGAATTCAGCGAATTCCCGGTACACGGACGAGGTAAATTGACTTTTTATAGACAGTGACAACAATTAATTATATTTTAATATGCTGCGCAGCTTGGCTTATTAGTTTATAGTATCAACAATACAAATTAAAGAACCCCTCGGATCGATCGTATCGGTGGGGAATCCAAACGCAAACCCAAACCGAGAGTCGACCTCGAAGAAAGGCCGCCGCAGAAAGTCATCGAACTTTCTCCCTGTTCTTTCGCCGACTAATTTCTATATTAGGTGTCATGGTCCCCGGCTGTCGGTGGCTCAATTAATTACCCAAACAGCTGCGATCATTTATAACCCAGACGGCGGGTAGTCAATCTCCCCCACCCGATCTGTGATTTGTTACATTTTGTAAGGGGCTATATGTGCGGCTGGGCTCCCAAGGCGCAAGGTCGAACCAATTTGCCCGAAACACAATCACAAAGATCAGCAACTGAATTGCCGTGACAAGTGAACCTCTCCGGAGTTGGAAGCCCAAGAGGTTCTCCGGTAGAAAGAACATTATACAATCGCGTGAGTCTTCTCAGAGCTGCGAATCTTTGTTGCTTAATTCAGCTTTGTAAACGGTGACATGCGAACAGAATGGCTAGATGGATGGATCTTTGGATGGTGTGTGAGTGGTGGCGGTGCCTCTTAGCATCTTAGCATTTTAGCAGCCACTTTCCAGCGACTGAGCCGTAATTAATAGCAGCTTACGGGTTAGTCGCAAATTAGCCGCATGACACAGCATCGTAGGAGTCCAGAGACCGAGCCGAGACGGTTTCTCGTGGGCAGAACTGACCCCATCCGGGCAGAACTCTTAAGCTCTTTTGCCACTTCCCTTCCACTTTACAATCGATGGTCGATGGTTGAGTAAGTCGCCAACAGCTTCCGTTCGATTGGAGGCGTTGCGGTTGTCGAGTTTGAAGCGTGGGCGTTTGTTTAGCACTCCAAATTACTTGGAATACATAAAGTTTGAAATTGATTTAAGTCATAAATATGCTAATAAAAACAATTCAATTGTATTAAAACTAAATGGCTATGAAAGATTTAAGTGGAATAAGCCTAAATAATTGTATATCAAATTATAAAAAACAAGTTTTAGTTTTCAAATTTGCCATATTCTATAAGGATATCGAAATTTGATAGGCTAAGTACATTTTAAAATTATATTATTATTGTTTTTAAAAAGTATTTCAATGTTTCTTTTCCAATTTTACAAATAAATTTAACTTTAATGTTACATTTACTGCAAATGATTGATTGACTTTAAACATGAGTAATTAGTTTTATAAAAACAGCAACCAATAATTTTTAAAACTAATACTAATTTTCATAGGAATGGTATTAGCAAAAGCCAATCGAAACTTCAATAATGTTTATGGGTATTTATGGCATATTGTCAATATGCTGTTTATTCCAGAATTATCTCCTTGCTGCTTACTAAGTACTTGTATACATTTAAGACTCGCCATCCAGCCCGCTCCAAGCGCCGCTAGTTGAGGGGATTCGATGTCTTGGCGCTCTCCTGGCGGATGGCGTTGATCAGCTCGTAGTTGACCAGGAAGGTGAAGCGCAGTCCGGAGATTTCCACAGTGCAGTTGTGAGCCAGTCGGGCTTTGTTGCCCGACAGCAGCGGAGTGCTGTCTATGAAGATGGCCCTCTTGCCCTCGTTGGCAATGAAGAAGTCGCCGTTGCTGCGCAACTTGATTGTGCCCTGGCGTCGCGAGATCTTGGCAGCCGGTCCTTCGAGTCCCAGATCCACGTCCACCACACAGTCCTTGGCATCGCGCCCGAAGGTGATCTCCTTGGAGCGCATAAGGTAGCGCACATGGCGGCCGCACAGACAGGCCAGCGTCTGGTTGTCGAACTCGGAGGCGGCCGTCGGACTGAGAACGGAATCCACCAGAACGCCCCAGCGCGAGAGCTCGTTCTCCAGCAGGCGAATATCACGTTTGTTGCGGCGATCGGCCAGAGCCTTCTCCATTTCCAGAGCCTCATCGCGCGGCTCGTTCAAGTCGTGCTCGAAGATCTGATCCTCTGCATCCGAGAAGCTGAGTGGCTGCTGATCCGTGCCGAAAAGCGGCTTCACAGCCTGATCCGGCAGCAGGCTGTACTGCTTGAGGAGTAGCCAATGGTTGTGCAAGGATTTGGCAGTGCGGGCGCAGTAGAAGATGGAGGCGTTCTTGTCCAGCAGCTCCTGGAACTGCTCCAGCTTGGGTTGCTCCGACTGTATATGGGATTAAGTTATAGGTAAGTAATGGTTTTATTTACAAATGGAAGTAAATATAAACTCACGCTCTTGATGGTGCCCAATAGGTCCTCCTCCTGCACGCTGTACAAGGCCTTACGCTGAACGGACTCCACCAGCTCGGGATGCAGGTTCCTCATGGCGGACACGGCAATCCTGGACACAGCGGGCTCATACAATAGGGCATACCAACGTTGCTGAAGTTCCTGCAGCGTAAACTTGCAGGAGAACTTCACGCCGCGATGGATAATCCTCAGATCGTTGGTCTGCTGGATGCCAATGATGAGGGCCAGGTCATCGATGGGCTTCCAGCGGCCCAGATCCTTGGTGGCCATCTGGCCCATGGGACGTCCATTCCGGCGCTGCGATTTCTTGCTGGCCGGACGCACTGGACGCGAACGCCTGTCGCTGGTCGTGGGACGCTCCATAACGGGCGGTTTGGGATGATGCACTACGGCCGAAACGATGGGAGCAACGGGAAGGGGCGTGGCCAGGGGAGCGGGCGTGGTGGGCGTGGCCAGGGGCAGCAGCGAGGCAACGGTACTGGTACTGCTACCCGGATGCACCAGGGAATCCGCGGAACCCGGCGTTTGTGGCGCTTCCGGCGTGGAAATGGGTATGTTCAAGGGCGCTAACGTGGTATGTGGCACGCCCACCAAGGCGGGATAGTTCTGCGATGTGGTCCGTGGTCTGCTGCTGCGATTGGCGTCTGTTCCTCCGCGATTTGTGGGCACTGCGATGTTGTACTCGACTATTTCGTCATCAAAACGCTTCCTTTTGATCGTCCGCGATGAACTGTTCAATGGGCAACGTAAGGGTTAAATGATTACCATGCACTAATTAGGACAAAATGACAGTTGTGTTATCGGTTTACCTCCTTCGTTTCTGATCGTTTTGCAGTTCAATCGGTAGATTGTGAATCGGATTTCGTAGTGGTGTCGAAATTACAGTTGAAATGTTAGCTGTACTTCCTATTATTGTTGTTGCTGGTGTTGTTGTTGGTGCTGTAGGGGCAACGGTAGTTGTGGTTGTTGTTGCTGCCGACACGCCTGCTTGGATTAGTGTGCTCGCAGTTGCAGGGGGGTTAATATGAACTGCGGGGGGATTGGTGGCGGCAACGGGCACTGCATTTCCAGTGCCAACGGTAATTCTTGTTGCCTCCATGGCTTTAAAAGGCTTTAAACAGGCTAAAAATTAATTATTTTCGCGACGCACAACACACACAGTGTGACCGCAGCAGCAGGAAAAAAATATATCGCGCGCAGAGGGTTGCCAGACAGTCGGAATAAAGTGCCACTGGAAGAAAAACGTTTTTTTAATTTATTATTAATTGACTTTTCAGTCCGTCGCGGTACTAAGATAATCTTATTGATTAAAGTTAAATCGATTGTATAAGATATGATAATTAAAATATTTCTTATTTATAAATTTTGAACCAAACGGAGTGGCCACATAGCTCGTCAGACAGATGGTCCGCGAAACCCACGCTTACCAACACTTTCACCCACACACACGCAACGGTCTGGCAACCCTGGTGCTAGATCCCTCTCGACAGTGCAAAATTTGTTTACTGGCATTTTAATATCCTTAAATTTTGGGCCACAACGACTGACTCATCAATCAGAACCGATGCCCGGAGCAACCAGATGAGTGCCTGGACGAGCGGGCGACCGAAATTTCGCACTAGCCACTCGAATAACAAGGGAAACTATGAGGTAAATGGGTCTGAGCACACAAAAACAAAACAGTGGGTCTGACTGTATATATGACTAATCGATTTGCAGTTTGCACTACACGGAATCGGAATCTTCGCAGTCAGAGAGCAAAATGGACATCTCGGAGACGCCGACGGACTCCACGGGTGTCTCGCCGCTGGCGGACGATGCGGTGTCCACTGCTCCTGAAAAGAATATCCTGGAATTGGAGCAGGCAAAGGACCATCATGACAAGGTTGAGCTAGAGTTCAAGACGAGCTCCGCCCTGGACAATAGAATACTGCGTCCGGAGTTGCTCGCCCTGGACGCGATGCCACAACGACACACCATCGAGCGCACCCTGGCCAACAGTCATCCCCTCATGATGTCGCCCACAAACACGGACTCCGATTCCGAGCCCTTTCAGCTGAAGAAGCAGGAGAAAACGCCGCCGAGGAGCAACTTTCCGGACGTAGTGCCCGCCACGGAGACGGTGCAGGCGAAGAACTCCCTGAATCAGGCACGAAACAAGCCGCAGGATGCCAAGGTCAGCCTGCTGAGGGCCAACAGCCCGGACATCCTGAGCAGCGAGTCGGATGCGGATGTGTCCCAGTACTTGGCCGCCGTGGAGTCCAACTTTCAGTCAGTCTCCCTGATGCCCAATGGCACTGGCAAGAAGACTAACAAGCGTAGCACCACTCTCCCTGGCGGCGAGGACATATCCAGCTTGGATTCCATCTCCAATCACAGCTTCGATGACGACGAGGACATCGAGCACAATCTGGCCTCCTTGAGTCCCTCAAGCTCGCTTATCGATGGCTTGGACGGCGAGGATGACGACGACGATTGCGAGGGTCCGGAGCTACTGCCCGACCACGATGACGACCTGGAACTTGACCTGGAGTTCGGCCTGGCCACCACGCCCACACCCAATGCACCGGCATTGGGCACGGTTGCCTCCACTCTGCCACAATATACGGCTGCTGAGGAGAGACGTGACTCGCGGAACTGGCAAAAGATCACTCTGCCGGATGGACGCACCCGGGAGATCGATATGCGTGTTATAGAGCCCTACAAGCGTGTGCTGTCCCACGGGGGATATCTCAAATCTGGCGGCCAGAACGCCATAGTCATCTTTTGCGCCTGCCACCTGCCGGATAGGTCGAGGGCCGACTACAGCTATGTGATGGACAACCTGTTCCTCTACGTGGTCAAGACGCTGGAGCAGCTGGTCACCGATGACTATGTGCTGATCTATCTGCATGGCGGCTCTAACCGGAGGAATGTGCCGCCATTTCCCTGGCTCAAGAGGTGAGTTTGTTGCTGCCATTTATTCTTGGGAATCACTAATGGAGAGTTTGGCTGACAGATGCTACCAACTGCTGGATCGCCGGCTGCGTAAGAGCCTGAAGCACATGTATTTGGTGCATCCCACGTTCTGGATAAAGTCGCTGGTGTGGATGGCGCGGCCTTTTGTGAGGTTAGTTAATAACTATCTTGCTTAATTTTAGTTTAAATCGAATAATGTATCCCACAGCACAAAGTTCTGGCGCAAGCTGGTCTATGTGAAGTCCCTGGAGGAGCTGGGCCTGCACGTTTCCGTGGAGAAGGCGGCCATTCCGGAGAAGGTCAAGCAATACGACGCCAAGCGGCACTGAGGCCCCAGACTTGTTTCACTCAAAACGCTAATGCAAACGCAACGCATTCATGCCACACTCGCTACTCGAGCCTCTGCATTCCCCATCTTCAATACGGACTAGGACTAAGGCTAATCCTCCAACCGATTGTTTGCGCTCTCTCGCTATGCTTTAATTTAAGATCTCAATCTTTGTGATACTTTATGTTTGCCTTCTCTCAGTCGAGTCGAGTCGAGTCTAATCGAATTGAGTCCCAATCCTCTCCTGCATTTTTCCGGTGTGAAGCGTGAAGGCGTTCAGAAAAAAACATCGAACAAGTTTTTGTAGTTCTTTATTGGCAGTTGTAGAAATCGTATTAGTAGACACAGACTCATGTGCTAGGATCCTATATAGATATACACACAACAAACATACATAATGATACCATGTAGTTATCGTGTAGCTTCCGCTTCATATATATTTTGTAATGGAACAGACATACATATGCAACCAGAAACCACCAAACTTCCGATCATGTTACCTTTCTTTGTAGTGACAAAAAGAGTAAACACGAAGTTGCAACACCTAACTGAACTTAAACATAAGTAATTGAAAATCTTTAGCTGAATTTTGCATCCAATATCGCATTGTATTGTATATTCCAAGCGTTCCAAGCACTACACGACACATTCGCTGACACTGAGTGGTGACCCCATGCCAGTCGACAGAATAGGTGCCCCCATTTATCCCAAATCTCATCCTCATTATCAGAGTTAACCCAATTAGGCTGTAAGTGAACTAGCGACCATTCTTTGTGGAATCTACACAACGGACACACGTAGAATCTCTCTAGCGGATAATGTGACGTACAATTAGGCAATGTAACCGATTGATATTAAGAGCGACATTTTGTTGGTTTCCTTTTACCGCTTTAAACAAACAATAATAATAAAGTGCAAGATGATTTTTTATTTATTATGCAATAAATCTTATGAGTAATAGCTCTGATTGCAGTCCCACAAATCGTTGTCCTCATGAAATTGGATGAGTACGAGCTCGTAGGTGACAATGGTGCCAGCAACCTTTATGTTTTCACGGGATATCATACATAATATATAATATGTAAACGTTTCAGTAACTTACACTCAACACCAGTTTTCTTGTGAGGTGGAAAAACTTCATTCCACTCAAGGCCACCTCATCGCTGATTACCTCCTCCGAAAATCTCTTCACCTCCGGACACCAGGATTCTTTGGGAACACAGCGCAGATACCTCAAAGTTAACCGGGATTCGTCATGAACGTTGGAGGAGTACAGTGAAACCGCCAAAGTGCGGCCGATGAGAAAGATGAGTGAGAAATAGAAGTACACAGCATGTGCCACCGAGGGCATGGTGCTATGAAAATATATTACAATTAAGGATATTAACTTTCATCTTCAAAAAATCTCACTTTAAGCTGCGCAGCAACTGCACACAAATGAAATACAAATTATTGGAAAAGGAGACCATTGTTATAAGGGATATGGCATTGTCCATTTTGTCGCATAGAATGCATATATTCCTGTATTGAATGCGACGTTCCGACCAGTAAGTGGGTAACATATTCTGCAAGTAATCGTTAACTCTTTTTTTTTTAAATAACGCCCAAGAAGTTCCCTTACCATTCCCTTAAAATTTCGCAAATCATCGTTGAGCTGTTGAAATTTGGAGGCCAATCCAATGCTGACAATCATCACAAATATGTCCATATAGTTCCATATGAAGGTCGAATAGACATTCTGGAACTTGCCCCAAATAGCCAAAGGAGTGGAGTAGCTGGCCACAAAGAAGATCTCGTCGTTGGTGCGTAGAAAATAGTTCTGGATGGGATCAGCGGTGCGGTTGCAAAACGAGGCATAGTTTATGGCCGATACCATGCTCAGAATGTGCTCCGCTGGTATGGAAAAAAAGGTTATTAGTCCTCTAAATACAAAAAAAAAATTATTTAAAATCAAAAATTAAATTGCCCAAACCTTTGAAAAAAATTATTACCATGAAAGTAATAGTTTGCCTATACAATTTTAAAATACACAGAAAAATGGTAATGGTCCTAAAAATATTACTTCAACTATTTAAATCGTGTTTTAATTGTTTTCATAATTTATTTTATGTAGTTTTTGTTATTCTATTATTATTATAATAATTGGGATTGTAACGATATCGACTTTATAAAACAATTCAACGGCTCAAGAAATAAAAAAAAACGAAATAAATTAAAAAAAAATTGTTCCCATGGACTTAGTAGTTTATTTATAACATTTTTAAGTACACGAAAAATAAAAAATGAACTATTTTTGTTATTGATTTTACATAAGGCATTAAACTTACCAAAAGACAGCATCATTCCCACCAGCATGACCATTGAAATGGTGTGACCCATCTTCCACCTGGCCAACTGCGTCTTATACTGCGGCAGATCCTGCTCCACCGTGTGCCAGTACATCATTAGCTGGGGCCACTGCCTGGCCAGATTCAGAGCCACCATCAGCACCACCAGAACAGATCCCCGGAATATGATGGGCTTAACACTGTTGAAACTAATTGGGTTGTTAAGGACCTTAAACAACGATAGTCCAAAGTTGGCCAAGCTCGAGGCGATGAAAAGCAGAGAGAAGCAGGTGCGAATGCTACGCCACGAGAAGCTCAGATTCGATGGATGTTTACCCGTCACTCCCTTAACTGGCATCATGGCAAAGAACTGGGCCACGAGGAGCACCCTGCCCACTGCCTGGTGGAAGGTTCCATCGCTGAGGAATGCCTCCTTGGTGCTTCGCGATAGCTCTGTTTAAATTAAGTTACAGATTAGATTTTTTTTTAATTTCTTTAAATACTTGTTACTTACTGGGCAATTTACTCGGCACTTCGAATTCATTCTCCATATGATTTTTGTAAGTTTCGCAACTTTCTTGTAAGGCTTTCTTACGGGCACTTAAGCAAAATAACAATAGGTCAAAATAAATCTTTAAAAATTAAACTGCACTGTAGAATATGAAAAGTTCAAACCGGGAAATCAGAGTTTAAACAAGAAAGGAAACAGGTTTCAGCAAAAAGAAGATTATACTTGTATACCCTAGCTGTTACAAAAATAAAAATCTTAATAAAATGATTATATTGTTTTTCGATTTTTGTGATTGAAAGTTTAAGAACATGATATATGTTAAGATTTTTATACGCATTTTTCGAACGTTTCTATGTTGGCTATATAATATATTATTCCGATTTATATAAAAAGATAGCCATAACTCTAAAATAGTAAAAAATAGTAAAATAGTAAAACAATTTAAAAACATCAAAGTTTTTCTATTTTTTCTATGGGTATATATTACCTGGAATAGTACGACAACTTTTTAAAAATTTCTATTTAAATAGCTTTAAAACTGAAAGACTTATTTTGCGTCGAAAAGTACTGATGGATTATAAATGTAACCTTAACATCATTGCAAAGTTTATAATTATAATCCCCTCTGCAAAGGTTTATACCAGATGATTTTTTAACACTCTTTGAGCCTTAATCGCTGTAGTCATAGATTTTCCAAATAGATTCCAAAGTGTTTTGCACCCACCCACCTCTCGTGAACCAAATCCAGTTTCCTGACCTTCGTTTTCAACCGTCGCAATTTGCGCCCCATCTTGGGCAGGAATTTCATCCTGCGACCTGCTGATTCCACTCCCAAAGGCAAACTGCTCCAAAGGATTTGCCCGGCCAACTGAGCTGGCACACAGTGAGCTGGCCCAGTGACCATTAAAAACACCTGTTGTTTTGCACTTATCTATAATTAAGGTACAGCAACAATAAAAGCACATATTTTGCGGGCTTAGCCTTTTGTCCCTCCCACAAAGTTCAACTTTCAAAGCAGCCGGCCACCTTTTTAGCGCCGTTGAACTGCAGCAAAATTAATTCGTAGGTCACGATTGTACCAGCCACCTAGAGATATAAAATATATCTATAACTAGATATCATTGCAATTTTTGTTTTGGAACACAAACCGAAATGACTACGCCGCGTGTGAGACGAAAGAACTTCATGCCTGTCAGAGCCACATTGTCCATCTGAACTTCTTCCGAAAATCGTTTAAGCTGGTAAATTCGGGAATGATTATGCAGTTTTGGGTAATAATTATAGCTGTTTACCTCATCGCACCAATATTCTCTGGGAACCAGTCGAAAGATGACCAAAGGTCGCTTCGATTCATCATTGATACTGGAGCTATAAAGCAATAAGATGAGAGTACGACCAAGTAGATAGGCTAGGGAAAACCAGAAGTACAGGGTATGCATTATCGAAGGTTTAGCCCTGGAAAAAATGCATTTAAAATACTGATTAACAAAACGAATTTTTATATCATATAGTTCATTAATTAAATTAAAGTTAGCTAAGATAGTATTTACTGTAGACTGTATGGAAGAATATTACTCAAGAGAGTGTTACTCTTAGAATTTTAGAAAATATTTGTTAAACTAATTATAAATTATAAAACTTTAAGATTAGTTACTTACTGCATGCTCTTCAGGATTTTTCCACAAATAAAATACAGATTGTTGCTGAAGCAAAGTAAAGTAATGAGGGATATGGCATCGTCCACCTCCTCGCACAGTTTACAAAGATTCCGAAAGTTAATCCTGCACTGCATCCAATGGTCTACACTAGTGGGCTAAAACATGAATGTTTTTTTTAATTTATGGTTGACTTATCCTAACGAAGGCCTCACCAATCTGGCCTCCCTCATCATGTAATCATTTAGCTGCCGAAAACGAGCAGCTAAAGCCACACTAACAGCCATCACAAAGATATCATTAAAGTTCCAGGCAAAGGTACTCAATACATTGACAACCTTTCCCAGGAGCCCCAGGAAATGGGTGTAGTCCATAAAATAAAACACCGAGGAGAAGTTTAAGTACAGGAAACTGTCGATGGGATGACCCGGAAATCGGGGACAGTCGTTCACATAGTAGCCCATAGACAGCATGCTCATTATGTGTTCCACTTCGAAGTAAATAAATATATACTAAGCATATTAAATAAAAAATATTCCCTTACCCAAAGAACAAGTGGTGGCCACAAAGGTGATTATCTTGATCTGCTGAGCCAGAGATTTGCTTTCCTTGGGAAATTTAAGAGGTGGTAACTTAGCCTCCACCAACTGCCACTCCTGAGCAATTTTGGGCCACTTCCTGGCCAATTGCAAAAATGAAAACGAGATTAGGAAAATGGATAAATAGAAGACCAGAGTCTCCACGGAATCGAAATCGAATGATACATTCGTCACATAGGCCACCAAATAGCCGGAGGTTATTCCAAAACATAGGATGGTGACCAGGGCATAATAGGTTCGAATACCGAACCAAGTGAAGGTCAGATCATCAGCGAATTTGGAACCGATTCCTCGAACTGGCATTAACGCAAAGATTTGGGCGATGATGAGGACTGAAATATACAGTACATAATATCGGAACTAAGAATTATACAATTTTTAAAAATATTCTTGAAATAAAATAATGAAAATAAAAAAAATCTCCAATGAAAAAGGTTTACAAATATTTATTTCATTTAAATTCGTTGTTTTCCTTGTCCCCTTAAAATTACCTGGCTTGATGGCTTCTTGAAAAGAACCACTGTATTTGTAATCCTCTTTTCTGATCCGAAGAAACCAGGCTTTAACTGCGTTAAAAAAATTATAAATATAAATCTTAAGCAAATTTAAATACTTACTTAGAGAAAATTGAAATCGTCTTGAGGGATTGGAGACTACTTTGTACTTAATGATTCCCAGAGTGACACTAGAAATTGAAATTTAAATTTAAACTTAAATAAACTTTATTTCGAATCCACCCACTCGCTGCCAACGCGTGATCTTCGCCAGAATTTGATGCGAGCAATGCATCTCCGCGGCTTGACAGGATCCCCAGTGGTCCTGGCCATGTTCCGTGCTCGACTGTCAAGCAATCCTCCCCTGACAAAGGGTAAACCCACAAATTGCTACCGGTTACCACTAATTGATGGCCTCCATGCCAATTGTGCGCTTATCTGTGCATAATCTTGTGCAAATACGAAAAGTTGACAGCCCTCGAAAAGCTTATAAAGTATGTACAAAATGAAAATGTGAATGCTGAACGGAAATAGAAGAAGAAAATGTTCATGGAGGAGCCATTTGCAGCCGCAAATGCTTTTCTGCACCACGACACCTTGCATTTGTCGGAATAACACAAGTTTCTAGGCCGTTAAAACACCAGCCATCTAGAAAAAGTTGCATTATGTAAAGTATTTCAAAACATTTACAATACCCACTGCAAAAATGAGCCTTCTAGTCAAAAAAAGTATTCCTTTCCACTGAAAGCAAAGGTTTCATTCCGAAGCAAACCCTAAACACCTTTTACATATTTTTGTTTAACACCTCCTATTTAAATACCTTACCTATAGTGTAGAGCTGAAGGCCGTTGCTTAAAACCATCTTAGCTGAGAACACGAAATCGCCGATGACAAGAATGGACACCATCACGAAAAGCAGAATAACCTCATAATGCAGGATATTCTCATGCACGGACCGCTCCATCTGAAGTCCCTCGACAAACAAATGGCTCTTCAGCATGGACGTGATAATAGAGACACTTGCAACTAAACGCTTCGGACACGCTTTTTGTATTGATAGATAAAATCTGACAGGTGTGATTAATTGTGTGCCATTACAGAAGGTGCAAAAAAAAAAATATATATATATATGTAAAACTAGAACTAGGAAAATATGCTCTTGGAGGAGCCCACGCCGCCCTCGCAAAAGTTCTTTTGCACTTCGGAGCCGGCCATTTGGTTGATCAGCACCAGTTCGTAGACCATCAAAGTGGCAGCCATCTGTAATGGATTATATATTAAACAATAGTTATTTAATATTTTTACAAACTCACCGCAAATATCAAACGTCTAGTCAGTAGAAAGTACCCCTTGCCACTGAGGGCAAAATGATCTGAGAGAAAAATCTCATTAAGGCGCCTTAGCTCCACACTCCAAAACTCAGTGGGTATTTCATAAAGGGTATAAGATATTTTCCTGGCTTCTTGAGGAATAGAAGATGCAGCAAACATCATGTTTAGAACTCGAATAATGACATACGAGAGGCAAAACCAGAAATATAACTCATCCGCATAGTTGCCTTTGGATCTGAAATGGTAAAACATTGAAAATTAAAATGGGAATTTAAAATGTTAAATACAGAAACAGATTAATATCAGTCCAAATTATTATATGGAATTTAAAGTGTTATATTAACGTTTACATCATTAAAAGCATTAGCATACACAAAATCTTAGTGATAGGAAAAAATGTTTCTTACACGTATATACCTTAGAATAATATTTCAAAATATAAAAAAAATTATCAAAACTCACTGAAAACTGTGATATATCTGCACGCATATAAAGTACATGTTGTGGGCACAGGAAAGAACTATCAACCCAGATAATTCCTTGTCGTAAATCGCCAGAAGATCACTAAGATCCAAGAGATCAGAGCGTATCCTTTGCCAAAATTCATTTGGCATTTGGGTTTTTGCATGCTGTCGAATGCGCCAGTGCAACTGCTGGAATCTCATTTGCATACCGCGGCAGATGAGGATCAGGAAAATGTCCACAAAGTTCCACACAAAAGTCATCGATAGAGTAGTCCATTCAATGAAGGGTACCCACCAGGCGCTGAAGTGCATGACAAGGAATAGTTGCTGACGCTCCCTCTGGAAATAGTTTTGCCAAAAGTCCACCTTCAACTTGCACTCCACAATGGCCAGATGATTGTTGTAGAGGGCACTTCCCACATATGTGGAGTGCTCACAGAGGGCAAACACCAGGAGGCAGACGCCCCAAAGTCGGAGGCGTCTAGAGTAGCCACGCCCATACCTGCAATCGTAGGCGGGCTCCAGGAAGATCTGCTCACACTCCGCCGTCCGGCGGATGATGTATGGCCAACGGCGGGAAAGCAGCAGGAAAACCCCGAAGCAGAAAATGCAGATAACGCTGAAGCTAAGGGATCCTGGAAAACAAATGAAGTATATTATTAAAAATATTTTATATAATTCTGTTTTTATTATGTTTTTTTAATGGTCCGAAAAATATATTAAACGATAGAGAGAAATTCCCTTTTAATCAATTTAAAAATGCACCATATTAATGACGCAAGTTTATTTCAATAGAATTCTGTGAAAGAATATATAATAATTGTAAATTTAAATTATTATTTTAAATATCCTTGTAACTTAAAGGGGGAGGCATGATGAAAATATGTTATTATGGGTATGCTTTTCCAAATTGTGCAAAAGTTCATTAAAGATCAGTTTTCATTCGCCTCCAAAACTTAAACATTTAAATTTAGAAAATTTATTTATAAAATTTAAGTATTACTTTACTTGAAACTAGAGCCTGTTGACTTTGTATTCCAAATTTTAAATTAAACAAAAATTATAAGCAAAATATTACGATTTTATAAAATAGATATATAATGAAATAGTTGTTTGAGAATATCATTCTTCTTAAGAGCTTAAATACTTCAATTAAGGAAATTAAAATTTAAACAAATCATAGAATTGCAAACAAAAATTTTAGAACTAAATAAAGTAAACAAAATCATTTAAATCTCTAAAACTCAAAACTCACCTATGGTATAAATTTTCAGACCATGATCGAGCACAATTTTGGAGGATAAGGCGCAGTCCACAATTGAAAAACAGAAGAGGATGAGAGCAGCCAGAAAGGATGCAGAAATCCAGCGAAAACGAACTTTCTCCGGTCGCGAACTTGGCCAAATCCCCGAAACTGGCAACACGCCAAAGAACTGCGCTACAACCAAAACTGAAATGGGTAAAATTAATAAATTTTTTAATGTAAATTCTTATTGCCAATCTCACCAGGACCAATTCCATGCTGAAGTGTGTTTCTGGTGCCTCTTTGTCCCGACTGCTTCATGGCTGGGCTGTTTGATGGCAAATGCAAAAAAGGTCCTTTAAGTGCAAAGGACACACCATGAACAAGGGGGCGTATGCCAATCCATTTGCAGATTAGGATCTCGCGAATGCTGATTTGGTGCAGGTGCATGGGCGTGACACTTGTGACTAAATGTGCTTTTGAATTGTAATTTCGAGTGCTAAATTCCGTAATCTAAAACTCCCTGCAGTATTGAGTCTTTTGCCTGATGGAACCTTGGTTGATGACATCCGATATCATGAGCTCATAAGTGATAATTGTGGTGCCCATCTATGTTGTGATAAATATTGGAATAAATATTAAATTGTTAAGTTAAGAGTTTTAACCTACAGCCAGGACAAGTGAGCGGGTGAGGTAGAAGAATCCGCTGCCGGAAAGAGCTGTCATATCGTTGCCCAACTGCTCACTAAAGCGCTGAACCTGTATTAATTTAGATTTATATTTATAAGAATTTAGAATGGTTGGTAATACCCACTTCTATAGACCAAGCTCTGGAGGGCACATCCCTTAAAGCCGTGACAATCTTTCGCTCGTAATCATTTATCGAAGAGGCCACAAAAATAGTCAGCAAGGTGCGGACCACGGCAAAACCTAGGGAATACCAAAAGGCCACCATTACCAGAAAGTCCACTCCTATGTTTCTGTTACAAAATATATAACAAGAGTTGAATTTAAGTACTTACAAAACTTAAAAAGTTATTTAACTCACTTGAAGCTATTAAACAATTGAAAGCAAATAAAGGACATGTTATTGCCAAAGGCCAGGAGCACTAATGGCGCTATAGCAGCATCTAAAAGATGCACAAGTCGCTTTAAGGCCAGGTAATGTTCCCGAACTTCTGTCCAAAACACAGCTGGCATTACTTTCCTATGAACAGCAGCAATTCGACGATAGAGCTGATGAAATCTGGCAGCCAAGCCAATGCCAATGCACATGATAAAACAGTCGGTGAAGGAACGCGGATAGGCAATTGTCTGGTTAACCCACTAAAAAAATTTTTAAAAAACAGTTAACAAATTAAAAGGATTTTGTTTTTAAACTAAAAGTACCTCTAAAATGGGCAATAGCCAAATTTGGTAGGGCAGGATTATGTAGAGATGTGGACGCTCCCACTTGTAGATGCTCTCCAAGTAGGTAACATTGATTTTGCACTGGGTACGTTCCAAACTGCTTAGGTGAAATGAATTGAGCAGCAAAAGACAGTGTTCCACTGAAAGGAATGTTTAAACAGGGAATTTAAGAATTTTAAAACCTAAAAAATAATACTTATTCCGACGTTACAAATTAGTAAAGTCTTTGGAGAGACATTTCATATAAAACTAAAACAATGAAAAGCGCTTTTCTGTTTTATAAAGAGATTACACCCCTGGCAAGTCTCTCACTTTGAAAAAAAATAGCAAATTAACAAAAAGAAGACAAAAACAAAAAACCAGTAATAAATATTGTAATTATTATATAATAGCTAAGTTATAATCATAAAATATTTTAATTGTAAGTTCTTCCTATAAAAATGAATATTTTAAACTCACCCAAAGCAGATGACATGACTATGGCAAACACAACATAGATGCGTTTCTTCATCTTGTACTCCCCGTAGAATCGATAGGGAACCTTTAAGAATAGCTGCTCCACACTGCTCCAAATGCGCATAATCCTGGGCCATTGGAATGCCAGTCGCCAGAAGAAGAGGTGCTCCAAAAGACACACGATGTACAGCGAAAGGGTGCTGGAGGTGTGAAAGTTAATGGCCACCTTGATGACATAGTTGATGACGGTGCCGAATTCGCAAAGATTTAGGATTAAAATGAGGCAGGAGTAGAAAATGCGCGGGGAAAACCAACGAAATCGAATATCGGACACATCCAAAGCGCGGACATTGCTCACCGGCAGCAATCCATAGATTTGTGAAATAAAGAGAACTTTTTTAAAGCAGAATATTTCGATTTTAATTTGTAATTGTAGTAGGTTTTACAAACCTTTCGAGACCGCCCGATGGAATGTCTCGCCCTGCGGCATGGCCAAACTAAAACTAACCACTAACTGGCCCATCTGGCGTGCAGAAAGCCCCCCATATATAGCCGAGGGGGGCGTGGCGGCCTTAAACGATTTACCAACTATAGTAAGTATTTACAACTAATTGCGGCGCCTGTCACATTCAGCTGACATGACAAATGGCCAAAGGAGTGGGTTGTTAGTGCATTGTTGTGTTCATCAGGCGCACAGGGGCTGCAGTCCTTTGCGTCGATTGGGTTCATCGAATTGCAAAAGGACCAACTCGTAGGTGACAATGGTGCCAGCCATCTGAAAAGGGGTGTAAATGTTAAGGGGGAAACCAGAGGTGTGAACTTAAAGTAGCATTCTATCTACTCACTCCAAAGAGCAGGCGACGCGTGAGGAAGTAGAACTTCTTGCCGGAAAGGGCCACTGTCTGGGTAGTCATCTGAAATATCAGACGCTCCACCTCCACGCACCAGCTGCGACTCGAAACCCTCCGCAGGACCCCCAATCCCCGCCTGGATTCCTCATTGATGTCCGCCGCCGTGAGGAAAACAAAGGCCGTGCGTCCAATCAGATACAGAAGGGAGTACCAGAAGTACACATAGTTGATGGGCCAGCGAAGTTTGCTTGGGGGTTATAAATGGTTAATGTTTAATAAGTATTATAATTAAAATGCTGAAGATAACATCTGTTGAATAAATATTCTCTTTAATCTGGAATCAAACATTTAACCAGTGAAATGGTAAATAAAATATATTTGTTTGTTCGAATTACCAAGCTGGTTGAAGCATTAAATCAGAGATAGTAATAGTTATTACAGACTGATATATATTTTAAAAATCTTATTTAAATTTTAGTCATGACTTCCATTTTAAAAGTTTTTTATAACAACTAAAATAAAAGCTACAAAATAACTTTAGGAAGGTAAAAATGTTTTTTGTTCGAATTTTAAATAAATTTAGAAATCATATAACTGTTATTTTTATAGAAATAAAATAAATAGCTACCAAATAATTCTTGATTTAGAAGGTACAGTATTTTTTTAAATTTTTAGATGAATTTAAAAATTTTGTAGATTTTATGGTTTTTAATTTTCATTTAATTGAACAATATTTTTTAAGTAGACTTACTTGAAAACATTTAGCAGCTGGTAGCACACAAAGTATAGATTATTAACACACGAAAGCAATATTAGACTGGACATAGCACTGTCTACAAATTCCAGTAGTTCGCACATCTTGACATAATGCTCCCGAATTTGGATAAAAACCGATTCCGAGACCTCTTCATGTTCCAATTTTCGAATGCGAGCAGTTATTTGCTCAAATCGATAGGACAAACCCTTGCTAATCATCATGATAAAGAGGTCCATGTAGTTCCAAACAAAAGTGCAGGCTAAATTGATTAGCTAAGAAAATAATATCTATTAAATTATATATTTTGATATATTGCAGGAAGAACTTGCCAACATAAGAGCAGCTAAGATCGGACTATAAGGCAGTATTTCAAACACATAGTCGTAGTTTCTTTGTATGTAATTATCAAAATTGGCCACTTCGGTTATATTGGTGCATATATTTAAGCGGCGCTTATAACTCAGTATAGCCGATACCTGATATAGTGTGTGTTCACCTGAAAGTTTTATTTTATTTATCGATTAATATTTTAATATAATATAACGAAATATTCACCTAAGGACAGGCCAATAATGGCCAAGGCAGCCAACTGCACTCGACGTGAAAGATTTCTTTTGGGTAATTCATAAGGTGGTTTGGTGAAAACCATTTCCGTTTTGGTCCAGTAGCGTATAACTGCTGGCCATTTATTTGCCAGTCGAATGAATACCACATAGGCAGTCAAAACACAGCCAAAAAACACCAAACCCACTGAAAAGATTATTAAATACTTTAAATAAATACCTTTTATAATACTTATAAATTAAATCTCACCAAAATTTTTAGCCGTAATACCAATATTAACTAGGCGAGTAAACATGCCCAGAAATAATGTAGAAGTGGCCGTCATGAAGATCACGGTGACAAACATGGGCACAGATTTGTAGGCAAATCGAACGCGTCTTGGATTGGACTCCCGAATGCCCAATAAAGGCATTACGGCAAAACATTGGGCCAAAAGCATGACTCAAAGAGGGGATTGAAGCAATTAAAATATTTTCCAGTTTATTAATATTTTATTTTCAATAACCACTTACATGGATACACAGCTCTATGAAAGAGATCCAGTTTCGCATAGTTGGGCAGCCTCTCGCTGGCCAATATGTTAAATTCCATATTAGATTCCTCCATAAACTTGGGTGGTGGAGTTTCGGGCTTGGCCAAAATCTCCACTGATTTAATGGCATTACCCTTGCTGGGATTTCTACGAAAGTTCAATGTAGGTCCTTTCATGACGCTGGTCCTTTTTGCACTGACACGAAATGCGAAATTTGAGTAGGTCCAAAGCTTGTCATGGGCGGAATACTTAAGTTGAGCCACCGAAAGCCCCACAATGGTTTTGGCTGCACCGTGGTGACCGTTTGAAGTGCCACTAATTACGGGTTTTAGACTAAGCTAGTTGAAGGATGTAAACAATAATTAAGAGACACGACCTGGCTAAACGGAATAGGCGGAGGTCAGTATTGAGCAGCATGTCGAAGGCTGCGGATAGCATCCTGAAGCATCTGAAGGTGCAACGCCAGAAACAGCGGGCCATCCTCAAAATGAGATGGCGATGTGCCCAGGGAGGATTCGAGTTCGAGCAGCTGGACACCTTCTACAGAGCCATCAGGCCGTGTAAGTGAGCCAAGCAAAAAAAGAAAGGAGGGAAGTTTACTTTAAATAGATGTGTCTTAAAAATAAACTACAGACAGTATTAAAGTATAAGAATTAATTCAATACTAAATAATATAGCCGCTACACTTTTTAGCTTAAGACCTTATTTACATAAGTTATATTTTAATATTTTCGTGGCTTTAATTTAATTTTATTGAGTTATTTTTCGTACCCAATAATCATGTAAGAATACTTTAGTTTCCATGACATTGGGCGCAGGAACTATTTTAGGGAATCCATAAGCTTAAAACCTATTTTTGGTAGGCAAAGTAAGCCCAAAGGTCTTTTTTAACCCTTGTATGAATTAATCGTTGATAAAAAATAAATAATAAATATTACAAGAACAGTTTTTTTTCTTTCAGATCTTTGTGTGGCCCAGTTCTTTGGCATTATGCCTTTATCGAATCTTCTCAGTCGCAATCCGCAGGATGTTAAATTTAAAGTAAGGAGCATTAGCCTGGGAGTCACAGGACTATTTCTACTACTGGGTGGAATAAAGACCTTAGTTGGTGCCAATGTTATCTTCAATGCTGGACTCAATGCTAAGAATATGGGTTTGTTTTATCATTTTTATTTTAAATAATAATGTTCCCCTTTATAATCACTTAGTTGGTTTGGTCTTTCTAATTGTGGGCATTATCAACTGGTTGAATTTTGTTGGCTTTGCTCGATCCTGGTCGCATATAATGTTACCTTGGAGCTCTTTGGACATCCTGATGCTGTTTCCACCTTATAAACGTTGCAAGCGAAGTCTTCGGTCAAGAGTGAACCTCGTAGTGATTACAGTATTCTGTTTTGCCATAGGTAGTCATCTGCATTGTCCCACTTATTGTTTTTATTAATAACCTATTTTAGGAGACCATGTTCTTTACTATGCCTCTGGATATCGCAGCTATAGCATGCATATAAAGCAATGCCAAACAAATCACTCACGAATTACCTTTGAACACTATTTCGAGAAAGAGTTTTCGGACATAATGTTTCTGCTGCCCTACAACATGTTCTCCGTTTGCTATGGATTTGTAAGGAATTTTTCTAAGGTTTTAGTTTTTTATACATTTTAAAATAAGGTGGTTTTAATATTTTAGTGGCTAAATGGATCATTCACCTTTTTGTGGAACTTCACGGACATCTTTATTGTGATTACCAGTATTGGACTGGCTCAAAGGTTTCAGCAATTTGCTGATCGAGTTCTGGCTTTGGAGGGTCGTGTAAGATTCCTTTTAAAATATTAACTTTATATGTTTTGTTAGTAAAAACCTTTTCCTTTAGCATGTTCCAGATGCTCTTTGGTATGATATCCGACGTGATCACATACGCCTTTGTGAACTGACCAGTTTAGTGGATGACAGTATGTCGAATATTGTTTTCGTATCCTGTGCTAATAACGTATATGTCATCTGCAACCAGGCATTGGCTATTTTTACGTGAGATAAATAGTTAAATATATATTTATTAATACCATGAAGTAATGATAAATTTCTTATTTTAACCAGCAAACTGCGAACTCCCATTAATTACGTATATTTTTGGTATTCGCTGATATTTCTACTGGCCAGGACTAGCCTTGTTTTTATGACCGCCTCCAAAATACACGATACCTCGCTGTTGCCACTGAAATCCTTGTATTTGGTGCCCAATGGTCACTGGACTCAGGAGGTGCAAAGATTCGCCAATCAGCTGACCAGCGAGTTTGTGGGATTGTCCGGTTATCGTTTGTACTACTTGACAAGAAAAAGCCTTTTTGGAGTAATAAAAACTTAAATTTAAAGCTTATTAATATTTATATTTTCCATCCTCTATAGATGCTTGCCACCCTGGTGACCTATGAACTTATGCTACTGCAAATGGATGCAAAGAGCCCCAAGGATTTACGCTGCACTTAAGAAATTAACGAACAGCAAAGTAAACCATCAACCCTGATCAATTTACTAACGAAATAGAAATCTATAAATAACAAATCTTTATCTCATAAGAATAAAATGCATAGTTAGAACTTATTAACCACTTTTAAAACACCATAAATATATTTTTAAGCATTTTAGGGCTTTTGGTAGTTTACAAAACAAAAATAAATTTAGTAAGTAATTTGATTCAATTATATTTGAGTGTGTGAGTTCATCAAACCCACCCGATTTGGGTGCAACAGGAGGGTTACTGGTTATTAAATGGCCAAAAAGCTGCCGGATAATTGGCCATTTGAAGTATCATTTCAATTTTCGGCCCAGCTGTCATTCACAGAGGGCGAATCCACAAATGGGAGGGCAACCAAAGTCGTTTGCCATTAGTTTCAATTAATCTTACACATGTAGACAAACGTAATGTTTATGGCAACTCAACGACTTTGACAAGAAAAAGGTAAAGTTACCTAAAAGTAAGTAAAGTTACCAAAAAAGAGGAGAGATGGGGTAGGAAAAATAACCTAAAAAGTGGTACACTGATAAAAGAAAATTGGAGAAGTAACATTAAATATATTCATATTGAATTATATATTATTATATTTCATAATTAATTGAATATAAAATTAAAATATTAATAACAATGCATATAAAATGCTTGATTTAGTCTTAAAAACTTGTAATAAACGTACAAAGGTTTTTCTTTTTAAATTAAATTAAATATTGCATTTAAAATATCTATTCCAAAAAAAATCAAATAGATATAACAAAAAATGTTAGTTCCATAGTTAAAAAAAAACTAAGGGCAGCGAATGGACGAATTAAATTAAGCATAAAATAGTTAAGAAATGTAATATTTTCACATTTAAAATAACTAAAGAAAAAAATATTCTATTTAAATAAGAAATACATGGACTTACTACGTTTATTTTACGAGTGTAATGTACCCAACCAGAGGAGCAGAAATAGGCAAAGTTACCAAGTCGCAGCAATGCGAAATGGCTTTTCAATTTCAGGACTCAGCCTTTGACACTTTGCCAATTAACACTTTCCTGGTTACCAGCTACCATTTTTGTTTATGTTGGGGCCTTCGGGTTACTGCCAATCCTTTAGTGGGTTGGAGCGGCCCAGGAGGCAATTATCCTGTCAGGAAGTTTGGCGTACGCAGCCGAAGCAGGTAGCAAAACAAAATGCCAGCAAAAACAAAGAGAGGTTCATTTAACTGGCACTGCCGGCACCCCAAATTTCCGGCCTTTCGCACGTGAGTCAGTGGCAATGGCAACCCTTGTTTTGACCCTAATGTCATGGCAACCGCTCGGCAATTCGAAAGCCAAAACGGGAGAGTTGTGTGGAAAATCGGGGAAAATTTTCACTCAGAACGTGAGGAACCGCGGCGAAGTGAGGCCATGAGCCACCGGAATGAGCATGGAAATACCAGAAACCGTGTCCCTGCGCAAGTTCCGCGACTTCTCGGCCCGCCAGAAGCAGGAGCTCTACGAGACGCTCCTCGAGCTGGCCGAGTCCATCGAGGAGCTGCCCAAGAAGTCGCTGCGGAAGACCCTGGAGCTCACACTGGCCGTCTTGGAGTACAAGGGCGAGCAGGTGCAGCGGATGCAGGACCAGAGTGCTGGCGCTGGAGGATCCTCTGACCGCCGCCTGCAGGACGAGAATGAGAAGCTGAAGCGAATGCTGCAGAAGCTGGAGGACGAACGCGATGGCCAGAAAAGCAAGATAAAGGAGGTGCCCACTGGATTACATAAAATAGCAGAAGCAACTCATTTTAACCCTATATTTTCATTAGTTAGGGGAGGAAATCCGCCAGTTGGAGCTGCGTTTGAGGGAGGCAGCCCAGCAGGCCGAGGCCAGCGACAAGGACTCGTCCGATCCCTTGTCCGAGTTGGACAAACAGGAGCAGCTACTCCAGAACATCGACTCCAAGAACAAACACATCAAAAGGCTGCTCAAGGAAATTGAGGTGGGTTAGCTTTACCTTTGGAAATTAATTATTTAAATGATCAAGTAAACAAAATAAATATAATTTAAATCTTTTTAAATTTCCAAATAAAAATTTACAACTGTTTCAACTGTTGCTATTTAAGCTTTATGCTCTATGTTTTTAATAACACATTTTTAGTTAACTTGAGTAAAAGTTTGTACTTTATTATGTTTATAATTCTTTTTGAATTTGAATTTCTATTAATACACTTATTTAGTTTGAAGGTAATATATTTATTATATATAATGTTTTAAACTTTTGAAATACTTTGTATGTTTGTATATTTAAAAATTTTTTTAATACCTTTTTAGTTAAAATTAAGAAAAAGCTAATTAAAATTAGATTAATTTGAGCCATGTTTTGTATACTTGTTTTGTTTTATTATAGATCCATTTTTGCCTAAGTTAGTAATCTTAAAATAATTTAAATATTAATTTTTGTAACAATGGGTCATTCTAATTGATTTGAAACATTTTAAAACGTTATTTTACAAAAATTAGATATAAACCAATTAAAACATTTAACTGACTTTCTCTTTTAGTCACTCCAAAACCAAAACATAGCCCAATCCAAGACCATAGTGCTCCACGAACGAGAGCTGCAGAACATCAAGGCCAATCTTGTGCAGCTCAGCCAGGACATCACCAAAGTGGAGCAGGAGCGGAAGTCCCTCAAGCAAAAGGAGCAGCAGCAGAGCCTGGAGATCACTCGACTGGAGGGCAATGTGACCTTCCTGGAGGTGGAACGTGAAAAACAAGAGCTCGAAATGCGGCAGTTCCTGGACAAATACGAGACCAAGTCGCTGGGTTGGAGGCAGGCGCTCGAGGATCGGGACAGGGAGTTGGAACGCCTCAAGAAACAGCTGGAGGGCAAGAGCATCAGCTCAGTGCAGACCACTTCCTCCGGTAGTCACAGTCAACAGGAGGAGGAGCACGTAAAGCTAAGACATGTAAGTAGAATTTTCTTTTAGAAAAACAAAATTTTCAATTTTCTTGTTTCAAATTTGAATCAGAAATGGAATATTATAAAAATATTTCTAGCAGAAGTATAAACGTAAAAATAAAGCTTAGATCTTAATTTCTTTGATTTCATAAATTTAAATTACAAATTTGTAACTCGAAATCCAATTCCAATCCCGAACAGCTCCTGGAATCTCGGGAGCAGCTCATTGAGAAGCTGGAGGCGAGGCTCAAGGCGATGGCGGAGGAGATGGTCAGCTCCACCCGGGTGATGAACCAGTTGAGCCTTGAAAAGGAGCGATACCAGGATCCCGAGCAGCCGCGTCCCTGCTGTCAGATGATCGAGGAGCGGCTCCGAGTGGCCAATGCCCGCAATCTGGAGCTGTCGGCAATGCTGGAGGCCTCCGAGCAGGACAATGTCCTCAAATCGAAGCAGGCACTCCATGCCCTGAGTGCCCTGGAATGCTACAAAAAAGGTGAGGATGGCTTGGTGCCAGCACTGCGACGCTGTTCGGGATTGGAACAAAAGCTAGCAGGACGCGATAAGCAACTAAGGACCTACATCCAGGAGTTGAACTCCCTGCACGAAGTGGTGCAGGAAAACGAGCTGCTGCGAGCCCAACTCAAAATACCCAAAGATGTGGTCATTTTGGCCAAAAATGTGCATTCCAAACAGCGCAACAAGGACAAACAGATCGAGCGGTTGAGCCTTAAATTGCGAACCTCCGAGGAACTGCGTCTGCAACTGAAGCTGGACAAGAGTGAGCTGAGGTAAGTGGGTTTCTATTATATTTATTTCAGTTACAACTAATTTCTTTGGCCAGACGAAAGCTCCTGGAGCTGCAACAGGACCAGCCACAGCGCTTGGACGAATCCATGCAGGCGCCCAGCGAAGTGGGTGAAGTTCCCGCCAGTGTGGGAATTCCCCTGGAGAATTCCCCAAGACGTGGCCAGGGCGATGGAGCAGCCAGCTCGGAGATGCAAAACCGATACGATGAAGTCTTGGCCGAAAATGAGACACTGCGCTCCGGCATGTACGAGATTCTGGAGAAGTTAAGGGAGTACGATGGTGAGTTTAAATATAAAGTTATTTTTGCAATATAAAATCAATGTAAATAAGGAAATATATTTTTAAATAATACTAGGATATTTGAGCCATATATAAAAAGTAAACGTTGTTCTGAACAATTTTGTCAGTTATAAAAAGTTTCTTTGTTAATGTGTTATGTGAATTTACATCTCAAAGAATTTGTCGTTAAACTCGCGTATAAAAAGAATTTTTAATTTCTGTTTTTTATTGATCCATTAGTTTTTAAAAAAAAATATTTTTTAAGACAGAAAGAAAACATGATTTATTTTAAACTAAATAAGACTATTTTTGAATTTCTTCTCAACATTTATTTTTAGTGCCTTTTTTTGAGAGCACCTAATTAAGGTCTCTGTTTTTGAAATCTGTTAAACTCATTTTTTTTTTGTAAACTGCCCCCTTTTTCAGCCACTTCCGAGCACATAACCATCGACTCCGAGCTTCTGCGCCGTCTAATCGAAGCTCTTCCCAGTGGCACGGCCACTCCACAGCGCCTCCAGGGTCAGCTTCTGGAACTGAAGGCCCGGGAGGAGGCACTGCGTCAATTGCTGCAGCAGCAGAACTACAGCGACTCGGAAACGGGTGAATTGTCCTCCGTCCAAAGCCTTTGCGATGTGCCTGAAATGCCAGAGGAGCATGCCGAAGTGGAGGATACCCATATTAATACAGCCACAAGGCCAAGTTCTCCAACTGAAGCCACAGAGGGATTACGAAGACCTACCATTCCGGATTCCCCACCAGAACCCAGAGCTGAGGATCTGGCAGAACTCTCCATTCTTCGAAAGCATTACGAGGAACTGCGTCTTCACATGTCCGCCGATGGCAGTGAATTAATGAGGCAAAATCAACAGCTTCACGATAAATTAATAAGTTTGGAGTTGCAACTGGAAAAGCAAGGGAATTCCTATAGTTATATGAAAAGAGACTACGATCAATTGCTCACAGA